CGGCCAATCACCTCGTCCACCAGGACGGTGTCACCGATGAACATGGCGTAGGTCTTCTCCTCCGGCTTCCGGCCCTCCTTGTTGGGCAGGTCCGAGAAGCCCACGTTGATGGAGAAGACCATTCCTGGGTGGAAAAGCGAAATTTTGGGTGGAAAAATGAAATTTTGGGTGGAAAAGCGAAATTTTGGGTGGAAAAATGAAATTTTGGGTGGAAAAGCGAAATTTTGGGTGGAAAAGCGAAATTTTGGGTGGTGGGAGCAAATTTTTTGGGGAAAAAGTAAAAAATTTGGGTGGCAAAGGACAAATTTTGGGTGGAAACGGAGAATTTTGGGTGGTGGGACAAAATTTGGGGTGGAAATGGAGAAGTTTGGGTGGAAAAGGAGAATTTTGGGTGGTGGGACCAAATTTTGGGTGGAAAAGAGAAATTTTGGGTGGAAAAGCGAAATTTTGGGTGGTGGGAGCAAATTTTTTGGGGAAAAAGTAAAAAATTTGGGTGGCAAAGGACAAATTTTGGGTGGAAACGGAGAATTTTGGGAAAAGCGAAATTTTGGGTGGTGGGGCCAAATTTTGGGTGGAAACGGAGAATTTTGGGTGGTGGGGCCAAATTTTGGGTGGAAACGGAGAATTTTGGGTGGTGGGGCCAAATTTTGGGTGGAAACGGAGAATTTTGGGTGGTGGGGCCAAATTTTGGGTGGAAACGGAGAATTTTGGGTGGTGGGGCCAAATTTTGGGTGGAAACGGAGAATTTTGGGTGGTGGGGCCAAATTTTGGGTGGAAACGGAGAATTTTGGGTGGTGGGGCCAAATTTTGGGTGGAAACGGAGAATTTTGGGTGGTGGGGCCAAATTTTGGGTGGAAACGGAGAATTTTGGGTGGTGGGGCCAAATTTTGGGTGGAAACGGAGAATTTTGGGTGGTGGGAGCAAATTTTGGGGGGAAAAAGTAAAAAATTTGGGTGGCAAAGGACAAATTTTGGGTGGAAACGGAGAATTTTGGGTGGTGGGACAAAATTTGGGGTGGAAATGGAGAAGTTTGGGTGGAAAAGGAGAATTTTGGGTGGTGGGAGCAAATTTCGGGGGGAAAATTAAAAATTTTGGGTGAAAAAGGACAATTTTGGAGTGGTGGGATGAAATTTGGGGTGGTGGGACCAAATTTTGGAAGGTGGGATGAAATTTTGGGTGGAAAAGGAGAATTTTTGGGTGGTGGAACCAAATTTTGGGTGGAAAAGGAGAATTTTGGGTGGTGGGAGCAAATTCTGGGGGCAAAAGTAAAAATTTTGGGTAGAAACAGACAAATTTTGGGTGGAAAAGGAGAATTTTGGGTGGTGGGATGAAATTTGGGGTGGTGGGACCAAATTTTGGGTAGTAGGACCAAATTTTGGGGTTGAAAAGGACAATTTTTGGGTGGTGGGACCAAATTTTGGGTTGTAGGACCAAATTTTGGGTGGAAAAGGAGAATTTTGGGTGGTGGGACCAGATTTTGGGTGGAAAAGGACAAATTTGGGGGTTCAAGTGGACAATTTTTGGTGGTGGAAGGAGAAGACCTTGTTGGGATGGAAGAAGGTCTCTTTGGGTGGCCAAGGACCTCGTTGGGTGGCCAAGGACCTCGTTGGGTGGAAGGAGAAGACCTTGTTGGGTGGGAGAAGGTCTCTTTGGGTGGAAGAGGACCTCATTGGGTGGCCAAGGACCTCTTTGCGTGGCCGAGGACCTCGTTGGGTGGCCAAGGACCTCGTTGGGTGGCCGAGGACCTCGTTGGGTGGCCAAGGCCCACCCAAGGTGGTCCCTCAGGTGCTCCTCACCCTTCTTGAGGCGCTGCTGGTTCTTGCTGTTGATGACCAAGGAGCCCTCGCGGAACTCGATGCCCATGGCGAAGCTGGAGAAGACACGGGACAACCGCGGGGTCACCAGAAGGTCCACCCGGCCACCCGGGCGTCGCCGAAGGTCCACCCCCGGCCTCACCCCAAGTTCTTGGTGATCTTGCTCAGCAGCTCTGGCTTCTGCTTCTTCACCACGTCCATGACGGCGCCGTAGACGTCGCAGAGCTTCGCTCCTGCCGGGACACCGAGGTGGTACCACCCGGACGTGGTGGTGGCCACATCTAACGGGGCTTTGGGGGCTGGAGAACTTTAGGGGGTGTTGAGGAGCTTCAGAACCCCTTGAGAGCTTCATGGGGGGAGGTCTTGAGGAGCTCCATGACCTTCTGAGAAGTTCCTGAGGTCTTGAGGAGCTCCAGAACCCCTGAAGAACTTTATGGAGATGGAACTTGAGGAGCTCCATGACCTTCTGAGAACATTATGGAGTCTTGAGGAGCTCCAGAACCTCTTGAGATCCTCACAGAGGGGATCTTGAGGAGCTCTATGGCCCTCTGAGAAGTTCCTGAGGTCTTGAGGAGCTCCGGAACCCCTCAAGAACGTCTCAAGGAGGATCCTGAGGAGCTCCATGACCTTTTAGGAACACTATGGATTCCTGAGGAGCTCCAGAACCCCTCGAGAACTTCACAGGGCGGATCTTGAGGAGCTCCATGGTCTTCTGAGAAGTTCCTGAGGTCTTGAGGAGCTCCAGAACTCCTCAAGAACATCATGGAGATGGAACTCAAGGAGCTCCATGACCTTCTGAGAACATTGTGGGTTCTTGAGGAGCTCCAGAAGCCCTCAAGAACATCATAGACATGGAACTCGAGGAGCTCCATGACCTTCTGAGAACATTGTGGGTTCTTGAGGAGCTCCAGAAGCCCTCAAGAACATCATAGACATGGAACTCGAGGAGCTCCATGACCTTCTGAGAACATTATGGGTTCTTGAAGACCTCCAGAACCTCTTGACATCGTCACAGAGGAGATCTTGAATAGCTCCATGGCCCTCTGAGAAGTTCCTGAAGTCTTGAGGAGCTCCAGAACCCCTCGAGAACTTCATGAGGAACATCTTGAGGATCTCCATGACTTTCTAAGAACATCATGGGTTCTTGAGGAGCTCCAGAACCCCCTGAGACCTTTACGGAGCAGATCCTGAGGAGCTCCGTGACATTTGGAGAAGTTCCTGAGGTCCTGAGGAGCTCCAGAACCCCTCAAGAACTTCATGGGGGTGAAACTTGAGGAGCTCCATGACCTTCCAAGAACATTACGGAGTCTTGAGGACCTCCGGAACATCTCAAGAACTTCCCAGTGGCACCCCGAGGTCCACCCACCCCATTTTGGCTCCCGTCTCCGGCGGGTCCCTCACCGTGCCGCATCTCCTTCAGCATCTCCTCCTGCAGCTGCAGCAGGAAGGCGTAGTGGTCCTGCATCTCCTGCGGCGGGTCCACCATCAGCGTCCTCACCAGGTTGGAGCAGTAGGACTTGTAGCGGATGCCCATGGCGCAGGTGATGGCGCCGAAGTGCATGTGGTTCTTGTCGCTGGGTGGGGGGGGACACATGGGTGGGGGGCACCCAACGGGGTCCCATCGGCCAACGGAGTCCCACCCAATGAGGTCCCACCACCCCATGAGGTCCCACCACC